CTTGGAGGAGGACACCTGGAGACTCACCGCAATCACGCCCACCCGCCCCGGTGACTGACACAGCCAGAGAACAGCAGCCATCACACCCCTAATGGGAGTGACACAGTCAGAGACCTGACCTTGTCACACGCCCAGCGTAACTTACACAGCTGGAGACCAGCCTCCTGCCACACACCCTTAGTGTGACTGACACAGACAGAGACCCCCCCCATCACTCCCCTCTGACTGAGACAGCCTGGGACCCGCCCTTGTCACATCCCCAGAGGGATGGACTCCTGGAGACTCTCCCCGTACACACGCAGTGTAACCACCCCACCACAGCCCCTCTGTGACTGACATAGCCAGTGTCCAGCCCCTGTCACACCTCCTGAGTGACTGACACAGCCAGAGACCAGCCCCTGCTCCCACCCCCAATGTGACTGACACACAGATCACACCCTCCGCTTCCGCCCCCTGGGTGTGATTGACACACTCAGAATCTCACTCTACCACACCCCCACGGAGACTGACACAGTCGGTGACCATCCCCATCCCACCCCCGATGGGACTGTCACTCCTCCCGGGGGCCTGGCACAGCCAGACACCAGCCCTTGCTACAACCCTCCGGTGTGACTGACACACCACCATCCACCGCAGCCCTACCCCCAATATGATTGACAGTCGGAGGCCGGCCCTCCTCCCACACCCAGAAGGACTGACACCTGAAGGCTGACACCTTTCCACACGACTGATACCCAGGGCAACCAACCCTCGGCACCCCTCTGTGCCGGCCTGGAGAACCTGAAGGAAAAGACACCTGCACCAGTCCTTCCTCTTAGGCATACACCTGATAGGGAGGAACCGCTTCTCACACCCTGTGTGGCTGCTGTGACCTGCTGTCCCCATCCTCTTTTATAAACATCTGCCTTCTCTGTATGCTAGTTCAAAGCTACATCAACAAAAAGCCACTTAAATGCCCACTACTTCCTCAGTTACTGGGTGAAAATCACCAGCGTGCAAAAGTAAGGGAGTTAGAGACACACAGGCATGGTGATACAGCCCATTTCCCCGCATCTTGTTTCCATTCCATGCTGAAAACCTAAGTCCCAGCTTTTCAAGATTTTTTTCAGGCGTCTTACATTGACTTAATAATTCTAAGAAGTCATGGCATTTGGAATATGAGTTATTAAACCCTCTCACTTTATCCTTACAGGACACCTTTGCTCCATCCCCACAAGCGCGACAGAAACTGCTGCCACCCTCAAGGTGATGCCTCTAACCCAAGGGGTCCAGCAAAACTGTTCATCTCCTTCCGCTTGTATCGTGTGTTCACAGAGCACCCAAACTGCCCCCAGGCAGTGAAGAAAGGACGGCACGAACATGAGCATGCAGAATGTGTGTGTGCATGAGCAATCCCCTAAATATATGGGAGAAGCCAGCAGCTCCAGGACTCTGCTAAATCAAGGCAAAGTTATGATGCCTGTGCTATGCAGCTGAGCTGTCATATTGTCTCCCACACAAGAGCGTCTCCAAAGGAACCTACACCTACTCCAAATAGCCTGCAACATATGGACCTTTGTAGGTCAACCTGGAAAAAAGTGAGACTAATGACAGTCCGAAAAAAAAAAAAAAACAGGAAAGTAGGAACCCAAATAATTTTCAAATGTTTTGGAAAAATGCAGACATGGTACTGGTTGTCTCAAACATACCTGAGAGCCATTAGAAAATGTCAGGTTGCCTTTAAAATGCATTAGAATAAAAAATATCTATCAGTTCTAATGGTTACATGTGCAGCAAGAGAAGGCAGTAGGTAAATAAGGAGCACTAGTAAAATCAGTGCTGCAATGACTTAGCAAACACTTTACCCGTTCTGTTTTCACAGAGGCAGAGTTTGGGGTCTACTCCTAAGAGCCAAAAACACCATCAGGCCGAAACGCTGACAGAAGATCTGCATCTGCATTGTGGGAGCCATCGTGACGTAAACGAGAGGAACCTCTCTGGTAACAATGTCAGCGCAAATCCAGAATGTTTGTTACCCTTCCCTAAATTGAGCTGGAAAAAAGACAATAACTTCTGCTGCCAGCTCAGTGAAAACATGTGTCTTGACAGCATCAAATGATTTTAAAAGACGCCAAAACACGATATTCTGGGTGCTGGAATGGGATCAGGTGGCAGATCCTAAAGTCATTTACGTATCCAGGCTCTCAGTGGTCACCTTCACACAGAGTTGTCACATCTCATGGTTGTCTACACTGTCCTCAGCAGAATCTCCCAAACTTCTGTCTCTGAGGAGAGCCAAATCCTCCCTTGACACTTCAGCTGCAGAGCTGAGATTTCTATAACTAGCATCATAGGGTATTTGGGAAGAGAGCTGTATTTTCTTTTATTTTGGTAAATTTGGATGTTGCATGTTAAAAAGAAATTTTATTTACACATGAGAAGAACCATCTGTAATTGCAGATCTGGGGAAGGAGAACGTGCCAGCAACTGAAAAAACATTAGATTTGCAAGGATGTACTGAAGCAATTGCACAGAAGGGGGCAAATGGAGATAAGCCAGGCAGCCTCTGCCTGCATCCAGCTGTCAGTGAACGCAGACAAAAAGGATATTTTAAAGGGGTTGGGGTGGGGGGAAGAAAATTATAGAAATGCCGATTTGGCAGTGACCAAGCCCCCATTACACATTTGTATGAGTGCCTTTTCCTTTCTGGTGTTGTCTAGACCTTGCACCAGAAAGGTTAGTCACATCTGCTTTGGGGCACCACGCTACCCTATTTTGTAAGTCATTTTCCCAGGTTTTGGTTAAAGCTTTCCTTTGCAAAGGCTCTGTTCAGCTGTGCAAACCCTCCACAAATGCCCTTTTTTGACAGAAGGGGCTTGGGCTGTTACCGTCCCACTGGTGGCCACGGCAGTACTGGCAAGGTTCGTGCTGGCATCATAGCCTTCCAGGCTGGTCTGCCCAGCAAAATCCCTTCACGTGCCCCACAGCACACTTCTATCTGGAAAAGAAAGACACCCGTGTCTGTTTAACACATAAACAGCCAGCAAAATACCTCAGCTACGAGGCGCTAAGGGTCTACTCCAGTTTGCATCTGGCATTGTACCC